GCCTAATGCAACCTGCTCCAAGTGCAATCATTCCGAGAGCGGTAAACAGGAAACCAAGCTGCAATTTGTGGGGCTGTGTGCATGGAGATTGCTCATTGCATTCTGGAGGCCTTAGTTGAGGTATACTTGTTGTTAAGGTCATACCAACCATTCCCTGACATTGCAATGGAAACTTCTATAATAATACTGTAAAAACTTTGCATCACCCACATATCATACATCATTGACAGGTTTTGTCTAAGTGGTACTACGAGGTGTTAATGGACTATGGACGGCCTATAGAGTGATCCATGACCACCCTTCTATCTTACTTTCTAAGAGCTCGGATATTAATGAACTTTACAAAAGAGTGGCTTATGCCTGATCAATGTGCTTTTAGTATTGGCAAAATTCTATTGTTTCCTGGAAGAAAAGAAATAAGTACGCTCGAAAGATTGGATAACACTGGACACTACCATGGATAAAAAAGAAGCTAACATTTTGTTCATTATATTGTTTACTCCATTCACAATATTACATACCAAACGTACACTATATACGCTATGTAAATCATGTGAAAATCTAGATATATGGATTTATAGATCCATTGGTGGTATATGATCAGTATAAATATGAAAGAGAGGAAATCTAATTCATCTAAAAGATAAAGAAATTTAATTTGTTCATGATCAATCAAAATCAGACATATTTGATGGGATCCACGAGTACTATTCATGTATTAATCACTCATTTTTATTTATTTATAATTTAAACCGATTAAAAATAACTCCCAAATATGCTTTACCAAAAGTGAGCAAATGGTGCCAATGAGGAGAGTGAGAAATCTTCCAAGATACACATCGGAGGTTATGGCACCGGCTATTGACGAGAGATTAGAACTACCAGACCATATTGTAACCACATTAACAAGAAGTATGCCATTCAAGTTGTATTTCGTACGCAGATACACTGTAATGTTTGCTACCAGGCTCATCGACGCCAGTTTCTCGAACGATTCATTTCCTGAAAAACACAAAAACACGAAAACACAAACAATTTATGTCGTGACAAAACATATTCATAGTTTTGTCTTCTCTAGGTTGATGCTTGAGTTGAGTTATATAGCATTGGATTTACCAAGAATGTACTTTATGGCTCTCCATCCACCTGCAGGTTTCTTGGGTTTAGATTCAAGAGAAAGAGGGTCTTTTACACCAGTAGAGTGAGAATAACTTTCAGTCTCCATCTCTATCCCTTTCTCTCTCTAACTCTTTAACTTATATCTCTCACTTAGAATCATTTATATAAAAACTGGATGATTTGTTAAAAATACTTATTACTCGGACAAGTTAGGAAAGGTTGAGATGTGAACGAAAAATCTGCTCCACAATCTTTTTTATATTTAATTAATGGTTCTGATTAATTCACAAGTTTTTTACATAAATCTTTGCTAAGCCACGAATATCACATTTTCCCATGGCAATGCATCAAATACGAATCTTGCATTTCATGGTCGTTGCATTTATTTATTTAAATTTTTCGACGTAATCCTGAATTTTTCCTTCATAATTTTGCAATTTAATGGTGTGACAATATGCTAGAATTTTAAAAAGATTTCATGTCCAGATTTGCATCAACAAACAGTCGAAATTTGAGGACAGTATAATCAGTGTGAGAGAGAATATTCAAGGAATTTCGGGACAATTCTGGGACACGTTCCATTCTCCTTTGGAGAAAACTATCAAAATTTTATATGAAATAAAAAATTGTCTGCTAAATATACAAGTTCTGAAGAAATAAGATAGAAAATTATGTTTTCTATTTTAGTTTTCTGTAAAGAACAATTACTTAGTTAAAAGTTTCGGATGTCTATAATGGAATTTTTTATTTTATTTTTATATTGTCGAGGCCATAGTTTTTTATTTATTAATTTGTGTAAAATTAAAGTTTTGCTGACAACATTTCATTTGACTAAATTAACATAGTTAGTTAAAAATTAAGGAACTAATCACATTGACTATAAAAATTCACATGATGACACCAGATATATCCAAAATAATCTTTAATTTATTGTTCCAAATATTTTAGAGTAATGTTATTCATCCCCAGTGGGGATGAAAACATAGTCTAGGTGACTTTAAATGATAGGTTAAATGAAATGTGAAATGAAATGACTTATTTAATTTCACATATCATTTAATGTCACATTAACGCCACGTAAACTGTGTTTTCATTCCTAGTGGGGATGAATAGCATTACTCAATATTTTACTACACTCTCAGATCGTCTTGACAAACACTTTATTTTATCAGTTTTTGATGCTTTTCTGGTAACTGGCAATGATGCTTATTTTAAGCACTTGTCTTACTATACTATCTACTCTCTATATATTAAGAATTTTCTCTAGACATTGCCACGTTAAACAGTTTTGTCACAATTTGGAAAGAATAATCTCTTAGGGTATCTTATATAGGCTATATGTTAGTGCCCGGACATCAGACATAACTGAAAAAGATGGAAGTTTTGTTTAGCCTATGGACAGCAGTGATTATAGGAATAATACCCTTAGCAGGGTGGTTGCTGTGGTGGTGGAACGATATCTGGTACGCTGTAGCGTATGCTGGCGGCACGAAGCTCCCTCCAGGCCACATGGGACTTCCATTCTTTGGAGAGATGCTGTCTTTTCTATGGTACTTCAAGATTGTTCGTCAACCAGATGAGTACATAAATATTAAACGTCGCAAGTAAGAATTTCTTACATGAGTTGGTTTTCTTGTTTATTATGATTGAGTATCATGTTAAAGATATGGAAGCTTGTATGTTTCATCAGTAATAACGCACTTCCTTTTGTAGATTATAGACACAAAATCTCAGTCACATCCAACTAATAATTTCTAACATATCAGAGAAAAATGACATCCATGGAGAGAGTGATAAAATTGGATTCTTCTAAGTTTTACAGTTGATAAATTTCCCCTTGGCTTGAGGAAGATAGTTCTTGACTACATTGAAATTCAAGGAATAATTTTAAATCTCTTGTAATGATTTGATTTGATTTGATTTGATGATTAGGTATGGTGATGGAGTAGGACTCTACAAAACCCACCTCTTTGGTTCACCGTCCATCGTAGTTTACTCTCCAATGGCCAACAAATTTGTACTCCAAGAGCCTACTTTTTCACCAGGATGGCCTTCTTCGAAACTTATGGGAACCACTAGCCTTTTAGCAATGGAAGGAGATGCTCATAATAGGATGAGAAGCTTTGTTGTAAGGGCTGTCAATCACCCTGATGCTCTACATAGGATCACCCTCACGATCCAACCCCGTTTAAGGGCTGCCCTTGAGTCTTGGGTACAAAGCGGTAGAATCGTCGTATTTAACGAAGTAAAGAAGGTACAAATTATCAAACAAAATTTTATTCATACAAACATGAAGGGAAATCAGGATAAGCACAGGTCTTCTGAAAACTAGAACTTTCTATTTTCTGCAGGTAACATTCGAAAACACTGGCAAATATTTTGCCAGCTTTGAGCCTGGCCCTCTTTTGGATACACTAATTGAGTTGTTTTATGGAATGTTGGACGGCATAAGAGCTTATCCTATTAATTTACCTGGAACTGCTTATCATCATGCTCTCCAGGTTATCACTTTGCTGCCCTGTTCTATTTATTCATTGTTCTTGTTATTTTCTTTTGTCAAGTAGGAAATATTATGGCAGGTTTCCATTGTTGGATTCGACTAACATATAAAACATATCACTGTCTCACTTTCTTCTCACATCCAGTTTTATTTAGTCCATTTTAGTGTGCCAGACATATCACCTCAAAAAGACTGATACACTATGAGACTGCAGTGTCGTTGGAAAGCCATTGAAATTTTTAGAGAAGAATTGGAGAAGCGGAAGAAGTTCAATGGTACAAACGACAAAGATGACCTAATGGGTGAGCTGATGCAACTGAAAGATGAGGAGGGGAAACCATTGCGTGACATCGAGGTTCTTGATAACATTGCCGGCCTTATTATAGCAGGCTTTGAATCGATTTCTCTTGCCATTACGTGGGGTTTCTATTATCTTGCCAAGTACCCCGAAGTTCTCAAAAAGCTTCGGGTACGTGTAACTACCAAACCCCTTAAATAAAAACATAAATCGAGCCTGCATTTTCGTAGGTGCGTTGAAGATAAAATTTAAATAAATATTACCTGGTGTGCAATGGTTCTAACATACTAAATTGCAGGAAGAGCACTTGCCAATTAGCAAGAAACTGAATGGAGATTTCATTACTTATGATGACGTCTCATCATGCAAGTATACGAATAAGGTATATGTACAAATTAAAACACCCAATTTTTCCTTATCCAAAGAAAAATGATAGATACCTAATTAGAACTTGTGTACAGCTCCAAAAATATTTTCTTATGTTTTCGGGAAATTTCCTGACTTGTTCTTAGGTGGTCGAAGAAATAATTAGATTGGCCAACATTTCAGCCTGTATTTTTCGAATTGCTAGCAAAGATATCGACTATAAAGGTAGAGACTAGAGACACTTCTGTTCAGACACTTAAATATAGGTAATGGAAGCACAGCTGTGCTTAATGATCTAAACTGCCATTCTTGAAAACAGGTTATAAAATTCCGAAAGGTTGGAAGGTAATCAGCTGGATTCGATACCTTCATACAAATCCAGAAAATTTTGATGATCCGATGTGTTTTAATCCGGATAGATGGAACGTGAGTGAAAAACAAGAAAACTCGAGTAAATAAACACTATTTCTCGCTTACATGTTAAAGCTATAAATACCTACTTCCTCTGTACCTCAGGAGCCACCAAAGATGGGAACATATTTAGTTTTTGGAGGAGGACCAAGAATCTGTGCAGGAAGCAAGCTGGCTCGACTACAAGTCGCAGTTTTAATTCATCATCTGGTTGTTGGATACAGGTGAACTCTACATTTGGTCCTTCAGTATGGTTTTTGTTGATGATAAAAGTAAAATAAAATTCCCAGAAAGGGAATCTTCATCAGTATATGTGCCAAGGTGAAGTAACTGACATACTTTTTGAATTTCAGATGGGAGCTCGTGAATCCTGAAGCAGAAATTACTTATCTCTCGCATCCAAAGCCAGCAGATGGGGTTGAGATCAATATCAGCAAAATTTAAGTAGCTTGTACATACTATAATAGTTTTATTTTTGCTCAAGTTTCTTTACGAAAGTAACTTCAGAGTCAGTTGAGTAGGGTAGATAACTGTTGGTTTATGATTTCCTAGTGCCCCCAAAGCAATTATGTTTGTGTTCTGTTGCATCCTCTTTGAGCCTTATAAAAAATCCATTAAGGTCCAAACTACATTGGTGTCAGTTGGTCGAGGTACAAAACTCTATGGCAACATTATATACAATTACAGAATCATAAGAGCAACAATGTGTTTTTTGTTCTTTATTTTCTAAACTTCATTGTCAGCCTAGTGAGCCAGTTTATGCATTCAATGTATGAAACTCATTTGAAAATTGTAGATAGAATTCTTAGAAACCATAAAACCGGTCTCGGAAAAGGTATCTATCCCAAAAATGATCATTTGAAAGTTGAAGGGCATGTAGATCAGGAGGTGGACCCAGATATTTTGTATTGTGGGATCAAAAATTAAAATGCAATTATTAATGAAAATAAGTCAATAAACTACTATAACTATGACCTTCATGTTTCCATAATCCGATTCTTTCCAAACATCTATTTTAGCTTGAACACTCATTTCAACAATATTTTGCTCTCCACTCGAAAATACGGATTTTCGTTTAAAATATTTTTTACATTACTATTACAATATCAAATTCGATACATAAATAAATAAATACCACACTTCATTTTTAATTAAAAATACAACATTAGATTCATAATAAACAACAATTAATTTCATGAACATTTCTAAATCACCAAGTCAGAGAAAGCCATTAGTTGGAAGGAATTGAGAATAAAATATAATATTTTCAGTCACCTCTCGTGTAGCCTACTTTTGTATTGATTTGTTCTGTCGAATAATATTTCCAGTCAATAATCAATTTCAAACGTACATACTACTATGCATCAATAATAAATAGATTGTTCCCAAATCCAAAATTCAAGCACCATTTCAACAAATTGCAAAAAATCGGATCCCATCTTCATGTTTGGCTTAATTCCACTACTCAAAATGATTTTATCATTGTTCAATAAAATCACAGAACCCAATTGAAAAAATCAAAGAAATATGAAATAATCTACAGATATTTCTGGAATGCGAACTCATTCCTAATTAAAAATCAGAGAATGATGATGAGGTGGTTGCTTTTGCTTATTGGCTATTGCCCAAACGAATCTGATGAGTTTCTTAGTTCTATGAAAGCAATTCTTGTTTTGCTCAATTTGAGGTGGCCGCTTATTGGAATGTGTCAATGACTAAACTCAACCAAACAAATAAATTCACACAGAACGTGTAATTCATTCAACCCAATTGAAAAAAAAAAAAGAAGGAATTTCACTAGATTAATCACACCCCCATATTCAACAAAAACAGTAATAAAACTTTCAAAAATCATTCAACTTACAAGTTAACATACATATTACCAAACCACCTGTCAGATTGGGACAGTCGGTACTCACTCGGTATTTGATTTGTGGCCGTGACTGAGGAGAAGAGAGGAAAAGAGAGTCGAGGCGACGACGTTGGAGAAGATGAGAAGTCGTAGAAGGGGTTGAGTAAATCATAAAATGGATTATGGAGAATTGGAATTTGGAGATTTGGCAATTCGGCTTCGAGTTGTCAGTTGGTGCAATTTGAATTTGGAGAAGTCGCAATTAGGCTTTCAAGTTGAGGGCTGTGTACAGGTAGATCACTCCCCAGAAACGAAAAAAAGAAAAAAAAAAAAAAACCACCGAATTTCTTTGGGGGTCGTTTAACCCCACATGATCCCATGTGAGTCCATCCCTAATGTAGATGGATGTTCAAACAAAATTTACAAGCGTACGAAATCGTTGTACGAGTAATAAAATTTGTGAATTAAGAGTATCATTTTCACGAGAAATAATGTCTAATATGTAATTCAATAACTACTATTAAATTCGAAATGTAGTGATATCAAAAGAGATGATTTGCATGTTTTTTTATATTATTCCTAAACAAACAAAACAAATAAAGTAGTTATTCAATATATGAATGTTTGTATTGAAATTGTGAATCCCCCTATTACCATTTAATTCAATTCTTAATTCGCAATCTAATAATACATGCATTCAAGACAATCAATAATCCATTGTTATTTAATATTCTTTTTCAAGATATCTTAAACATATGTTTAATACGACATGATCATATTCCTAGTCTGAATTCATATGAAAGACATGCATTGATTCACAAGGTTTATCACACATGATTGCACATCTCATAGACATTATTTCTAATACATATTGTTCATATGTTTATTTTGCAGCGTTCTAGATCTATTGTGAGTATTCATACACTACAACAAACGACTTACTATTTAATTGGTGATCAAACAATCAAATAGTTTAATGAAAATGCAAAACAAATTAAGAAAAATCAAAAAATACTAAATTAATTATTTTGAATTAAAATAAACAAACAATATGGTACATCATTCATCCAATACAATAAAAATCTTAACATAACATTCTTATTATTAAATTATACAAGAATAACAAGAAAAATATCATCCGAAAATAAGAAAGATAGAAGAAGTAGGAGAAATCCACTTTCTTGGCTCAAATAGTAAAACCGGACTATAAATCTTCAAATTTTTTGTATGATTCGCTTTGAATTCATATAGACTGTTCTTCACTTTCAAAATATATAGAACATGATGAAATTTAGGACGAATGACCCCCTCTTCCCCACGTTCTGGTCGAGTTTGGTATTTAAAGGACGTCAAAAGATTGCATTGAATTTTTTCTCTTTTTGTACTGAAGCGTGCACCTAGGCATATCTAAGGCATGTGCCTGACTGGTTTTGGATGCCCCAGGCATCCCATTTTGGTTAGGGCGCGCGCTTCTTATGCAGGCGAGGATGCACGACTCGCCTAATTTTCAACAACTAAACAATTTTCAATTTTTTTGTCATAACTTTCTCTCCTAATATCCGTTTAAGGTAATTTAAATTGCATCGAAAAGCTAACTCAAAGGGCTACAATTCTTATAGCAATATCATTTTTTCAATTCGAAAACTTGCTATACCAAAATTGGGTCTTAGTGTGGGGCTAAAAATCTGACGCACGATTTTTTCAGCTGAAAGTTGATGTGTGATAATAGTTGGACTATACTTCATCTCTTTGACTTATTTTCTCATCCAATTGATCCATAGTACTCTCAAATCTTTATCGTGAGGTTTAACGCAGCTTTTTAGTAGTTGTACTTTAGTCCCTGAACTTTGAATTTGCTTCATTTCAGTTATCTTCTCTTACAATCTTGTTTATTTTTCTTCCAATTGTATCAAATTAAATGCTTGATATCTTCGATCTTCATTTCATTGCCCGTCTCATCTATGTATTGTTTTGAATTTAGTCCTCAACTTTTGGATTTCGCCCTTTTTCACTATTTTTGTATTATTTTCTCCAATTCTTAATCAAACATCTAGATTTACCTACAAAATGCAATGCAATACAATATAACACATGGTTAGATAGTATTTTATCCAAAGAATAATAAAATATCATCATTTAGGATCTCAAATAAGTGTAGAAACTACACTTATCAATTGAGATTGGACAAGTTTTGTAGATCAACTACTGGCTATTGTACATTCGTTGGAGGGAACGTGGAAGAGTATGAATCATGGAGCTGCCCCAGTGCAAAAATTGAATTCAGAGCCATGGCACATGGTGTTTGTGAGTTACTATGGCTAAAAAAATAATTCTAGAGAACTACTATTGGAGCCACAAAAACCGCTGAAGATCAATCATCCTTATTATATAAATTTTTGTGGATCAATCAAATTATGATTTATTTTTTAAGGATTTCACGTTTCTTTGGAGAAAAATAGTAATCTGAATACTTACTGGTCGAGTTCTTGCAATTAACATTAAAATTATATTTCATAGCAATTTTTTTCTTTACATGCTTATTATAAAACTTGTGAAGCAACTGGTGATTCTGTGACAACGCAGTAAAGCATATCCCACCCAGTATGATTCCATCTAGAAATAACCAGAAGATTATGCTGAGAAAGGGACAGCTGGAGTGCCCCTTTGCTCAAGTAAGAGGGTGTCATAGGGCATTAATTTAGTACATGTATTTCGCACAGCCAAACCCTGCATTGTCTTGTCTCTTTTCAGTCTGGGAAAAGGGACCTTGACCTTTTCAGTTTATGGTGCAAACTAATATTCCAACCACCCTCAGGACGAGTTGATAAATAAACTGATTTATCTCGTCTCAGATAGTTAAGCTACGAGATAAGATGATTTGTTATTGTATCTAGCAAGATAAAAAAGTTGAATTTTCCACTTTTTATCAAAATCCCACATGTTAATTCGGCTTGCAGTTAGAAGAGGTTTTGTAAGGTTGCTTCTTCGATTAAAGAACAAAGAAGAAAACTCGAAAAATGCTGCGAAACATAGTGGCTGGATGATGTTCTTATGCCCTTGTAACCTCTAGAATTCAAGAATTGTGAAAGAGGAAAAGCACTTGAACATACAAAAGTTGGAAACAGCAGGCTATGATGATGAGTTTCCACTAAGATAAGCTATTAGAGTTCCAGCTCTTGAATCCATTACATGATTATAAGCATATCCAATTGAACTTTATGTACTTAATTTACTCGAGTGAAGGTGGGGTTTGACATGCTAACCACTTGCTGATTATGGATAAGAACAACCAGAATTGGTCTCCACTGATATAATTCTAGCCCTTTCAATGGAGCTTATCAAACCTGTAAACCGAAGAAACCACTAGAAACAGGGCCAGATAATGCATGCAGCTAAATTCCGTGGCATATTTCCGTTTGTACCAATCTTGAACAGCGAATATGTGGCCTGGAGTATAGCCATACATTTAATGAATGTTATGAGGCACTAGTTTACATGATAACAGACAAAACCATTCTTGAGTTCGACGGCTATCAAATTCTTATTGATAAGACAAAAGAATCCTATGGATGCAAAATTTCCGCGAAGGTCCATAAATACACATAAGGCAACTCAGTATCTTAACTTCCGTTAGGCAATTTTATAAATAGTTTACAAAGAGGAAAAAAGTGAATCCTACGAAATGTGTGAATAATGAGTAGTAATTAACTAATTATTAATGTATGGTTGAAATTAATGATCGATTCTGACTGAATTTTTAAAACATTTATGTATTTGTATCCAAACGGAGGCTTAAATAACATAATTCGCAAAATTTCCATCTGTGAAATTAGCACGGCTAGCTATAACATGTTTACTAAGATGAATTAGATAATACTGGACAATATTAAGAATACTGTTATTATAATGTATAGTTTAGTAATGCATACCATTAGTGATGTTCTATCATGATGGTTCATTTCTAAGATGTACTGATTAAAATAGCAAATAGCTCTTCTAAGTGCTTCACATGTATACAGTATGATAATGGTTTCATGTATAAGATAAACCACATTGAACTGAAATATAAAACTTTTTTTTTTAAGGCCAAAGCACGAAGCATCATTGATTAAATATATCGCCAGCGAATCACAGATGAAATAGAGATCGGAATAAATCTATCCACTGGTTATTTACATTGCACATAGTGGCTAATAAACCAAGTTCGTGGGCTGCTTTACCACCCTCACAGAATGAAGACTGCATCATACACATTATAAACAACCACAAGTCTGAATGGAATTGAAATACTTGCATCGAATAGGTAAAACAGGATGTAGCCGGAAGTGGATGCTAGAAAACCATGCTGACGTTTTCAAGGAGTCGTAACCATGCAATTTGATGATACGTCATATCAAGCAGTTCACAATTTCATGGCTCATCTCATCTACCTATTTCACTGATCAAAGAACACAAAAAATCGATGGCTGAAAAAAACTATATACAATTAATTTACACATGATGGACGTCCATTCGTCAGATAACTTCAGTAGCAAAAAGAAGATATTATACTTCAATTGAAAACTATATGAGATCATGGTAAGGGACAAAATGACCAACATCAGGTTCACATTTTCAAGAAGCAGCCACCAGTGATATATTTAAAGTAGCCAATGCCCCAAAAATTAAGATAACTCCTTTTTATTATGGCCTGTAATAGGACAATAAAGGTGGGACATGACAAAGTTGCATGCAGTCTCTTAAAGATTGGCAAACACTGCGATCTCACCACTACAGAGAGAGTGGCGGTGGTTGTGGTTTTGGATGTGTATGAGTGGGTCCGATTCACATAATGCTTTGTGGCTATCTGGAAAAACCAGTCTTTCAACTTGCATGTTTTCAAGCAAACTTAACAAAAATAAAATGACTATATCTACACCATTTGAATGCACATAAATGAAATAAAAAACTATAGAGATAAGCCAACCATATTAAAATTGAGGTGAAGGAGCTGTGAGAATGTTAAGTCACTTTCAAGTGTCAAAGGATCCAGATTTTTCCATTCAGATTTGACAACCCAATTCTCCTAGTATTTAAATAATACTCCTGCACAGATGCTGCTTAGTTTAAGTGCTCTCTGATCAGTTTCATATAGCAAGAGATCTCGTAATTGTTGGAACAAAAGATGGTTCCCTCCGTTGCCTTTTTTCTCTTTTTCATAAAGATTCTTCACCGTCAAATTGACATGTTCGTTCAATGTTTTCCTTTATTATTGCTGTAGGATAAGGGGCAGCAATTGAAGAAATGGGAAGGCTACAGAGACTGGAGAAATAGACCAGCCTTGAAAGGCCGTCATGGTGGCATGCTTGCTGCCTCCTTTGTCTTAGGTCAGTGAAAATATTGGCTTATTTCATAGCAATACATCTACAAGAGCATTTCTAATAGACTCTTTATTTTTTAAAGAGCATATTCTATCATTTGGAGAGTATCTATAAATTTAGAGAGTTAAAATTTTGAAGTATTCCAACAAATTCTTTATATTTAACACTTAATTTTACTCCTCCCAAAAAATATTTATTATTTTTCTTTATCTTTTATTTTAACTAGCTCTTCTTTAGATTATTTTATTTTTTTCTTATATTGAAAATTGAAACACTTTGAATGAATTTAATTATAGAGAATTAATTTGGAGAGTCAAACTCACTCTCTAAATTAAAATGTTAGTTTCAAGAGTCTCTTGAAGTATCATTTTAAATATTGACTCTTTAAAATAGAGAGCATCTCATGTTTAAAGAATCTTTTGGAGATGCTCTAATATATTAAATATCACATCAAGTGAGAATCATTTTTTAGATGATTTTAACCCTATTATAGTTCAATTATTTCAATAATACATTACTTTTCGTTTTTCAATATATATTTAATTTATTTAACCATTTAATTACTATCAATGTACATGTACATTTGACATATAATAATTAACATTAGTTTTATTTAATTGAAAATAAATAAATGATTTAACATTCATTGTCGCATATATATTTCTTGATTTTAATTTACGATTCTAACTCTGCAATAATTCAATTATTTCAATAATACCTTACTTATCGTTTTTCAGTAAATATTTAATTTATTTAACCATTTAGTTACCATAAATGTACATGTACATTTGAAATATTCATTTCACATGTATACTTTCATTAATGTATGAATTTTCTATTATTAATTCTCAATTAATTAACATTAACATTCACATTCATTTAATTAATATTCATCTTCATTTATGAAATTCAGTGTTATTAATTCTAATTATAAGTTATTTAAAATTTCACATTCAAGAATGTATTTCATTATTCACATTCATGTATACTAATTAACATCATGTTTTATTTAATTGGAAATTAAATAAATGATTTAACACCGGTATATATTCTTTGATATTAATTCTAAATTAATTAACATTCACGCATATTCAAATATTACTTTTACAGCACTTATAAAGTTTTTCATAATAACGTGCAACGCACGTTCAACATTGACTATTATTATAAAAGAAGAAAGAAAAATAAAATTGGTGTTCATTGAATTGTCCAGTTGTGGACAAAACACATTCTTAAAACATAAGAATTTGATTGATAATTATCTTCCTTTTGCAATCTTTCAGTAGTGGAAGTCTTGGAGAATCTAGCATTCCTGGCAAATGCAAGCAATTTGGTTCTTTATCTGTCAAAATTCATGCATTTTTTACCATCTAGTTCGGCCAACATGGTTACCAACTTCATGGGCACCGCCTTCCTCCTTGCTCTCCTTGGTGGCTTCTTATCTGATGCCTACATTTCCACCTATTGCATCTATTTCATAAGTGCAACAACAGAATTTATTGTAAGTATGGTTCCAAGGTTCACTAAAGATTTTACATAATATGCATACATGACCTTCAGTTTGTCAGGGTTACTGAAAATAAGGAATACAAACACACAATTTGTAGTGGTTCGCTGTCAATATAGAGCTAAATTCATTTGCCGTTGTAGGTCGCAGGGTTTTTTCTCAAGCCCTTAACACACAGAAATGGTCCCCTCTAAAACTTCTTTATATGGTAGGAATTTTACGGCAACCTAATTCATACTGGAATAATGAATGTACTCTTCAAAAATCCTTCACGTAATAGAAATTTTAGGTTGAATCCAATCAAGAGGATAAGTGTATGGTATTATCAGTCCAACATAGTTCATAAATATTTTATAAACTCAATGGTACAGCTAGCTACATTAACATCCAGGTAGCCCATTGGAAACCTGGAAAGCAGAAAATTGACACTGCTAAGAAAAATAGGGAGTACAGACATCCACAAAATATTTGTTTTACCTGCCCAAATCACAATCACAGGCAAATACTTGTTTGAAAGCAATAACTGATGATGCCATGCCATCTTCTTCATAAATGAAATCTGATAGTTTCTGAAATTCCACAGATTATACCTATTTACAAAAATACCTTGACGATTCCCGCTCGTCCAATCAAATTTTGTGGATGGAAATTATGCCTGCTAATGTGGTGCTATTGCTCTTACTATTTTTTCCTTAATTAATGAGCACTAGATCTCATTTTCATTTTCAAGTCCATGACTATAACAGCTGCCACTGTCATTACAGTGTGGTGCTACAGTTTATGAAGAAATTAGTAACTGCACAGTTCTAATAATAGACGAGCAATCTAATTCCATGAAGAGAGAGAGAGAGAGAGAAATCCTATATGGTTAAAGGACTGCACCAATCTGCATTTTGAATTATTTAAAGGGATTTTGGTTCTACATTTGGTTAGCACTTTGGTGTCCTATGCAACTTATTGTTACCACCAGTATGTAAATTTCTAGTCATGATAGGGATACATTCAACTATGTCGACTAAAATTTTAAAATATTAAAGAGGAGACAGATTTTTCCATTTAGCTTCTGTTTCAAAGCCCACCCCCTTGTAACAGATGCACAAATTTTCATAAATGGGTGGTGGCAAGACTTGAACCCAAATCTTTGTTTGCACTAAAACGAGAACTACCTCATTTAAAGGCTTATCGCTTTATGATTGGATACATTATTCACTAAAAGTTAGTCTTCAGCGGTATATAACATACTTTCGACTGTAAAACTGGAACAGGGTCTGTTGATACTCACACTTCAAGCTCAGATACCTTCACTGAAACCTCCAGTCTGCACATCAGTTAACAGAAACATTCCATGTGAAGAAGTTGATGGAGGAAGATCAGTGATGTTATTTGCAGGCCTCTATTTGGTAGCACTAGGTGTTGGAGGAATAAAAGGTTCGCTTCCTCCGCATGGAGCAGAGCAGTTTGATGAGCATACCCCACCTGGAAGAAAGCAGAGATCAACATTCTTCAATTATTATGTTTTTTGCCTCTCTTGTGGAGCACTAATTGCAGTCACATTTGTGGTGTGGATCGAAGATAATAAGGGCTGGCATTGGGGTTTTGGAATCGCCACTGCTGCCATATTGATCTCCATACCAGTTTTCCTCCTTGGCTCAGCTTGTTACAGAATTAAAATTCCCAGTGGAAGCCCTATCACAACAATGTTCAAGGTAAACTGAAGGCTAAAACATTCTCATGTTCGTACTAAAATTTGATTGTACTTAACAGCGTTCAGGATGAAACCAAAGTAAAAGAAGCCAAGATCTTATTCATTATACTATCCAGTCTTCTCTATTAGTATTACAAAACATAGGATCTCTGGTACAAGGTTGAAAGAAATTAAGAACTATTTCCTTTATTATGTTTCGACAGGTCTTGGTGGCTGCAATTTATAATGCTTGGGTTCTGAGGAATTCTGGCAATGCTATAGAGAACATGAGCACAACCTTGTCATGTACAACTGAGGCTGGAGAGGACGAACAACATTGTAGAGGAAACGCAGAAATCCAGAGTGCAACGGAAGACCTCAAGTTTCTTAACAGAGCATTAATGAGCACATCAACACCACCATGGCTCAAGTGCACGACAAAACAAGTGGAAGAAGTGAAAACTGTCCTTAAGATCCTGCCAATTTTCATGTCAACCATTATGCTTAACTGCTGCCTTGCTCAGCTTTCCACTTTTTCAGTCCAACAAGCAGCCACCATGAACACTCAAGTTGGAGGTTTAAGAGTTCCACCAGCTTCTCTTCCAGTATTTCCTGTGCTGTTTATAATGATACTTGCACCAGTCTATAACCATGTTATAGTACCAATTTTCAGAAAGTTGACCAATACTGAAATGGGAATTACTCATTTACAACGAATTGGAACCGGCCTAATTCTTTCAATTGTAGCCATGGCTGTTGCAGCTTTAGTCGAGATGAAGCGAAAGAGAGTGGCAATACAATCCGGCCTAATGAACTCAACAGAACCTCTTCCAATCACATTCCTTTGGGTGGCACTTCAATACGTGTTCCTTGGTTCAGCTGATCTATTCTGCCTAGCTGGCATGATGGATTTCTTCTTTACAGAGGCCCCATTTAGCATGAGATCATTAGCAACATCTCTCTCATGGGCTTCATTAGCCATGGGTTATTATCTCAGTTCAGTGCTTGTAGCAATAATCAACGATATAACTCGGAACTTTAGTCGAACTCCATGGCTCGATGGCAGTAATTTAAACCATTATCACCTGGAAAGATTTTACTGGTTAATGTGCATATTAAGTGGTCTGAACTTCTTGCATTATTACTTGTGGGCACGACACTACAGGTATGCATCATCAACGCCTGATGATCAGAAGGAAATTCAATTACACTAATATTTGATCAAAGATCTAAATGTTACAGCCATGAAATTTTAATTGAAGCAGACTAGAAAGAGAGAGACAGATTACTGGTCATTGTTAGATCCTAGAATGTTGCTTGTCACTGTACAGACGAATTTTATTTTTATTTTTTATGGAGTATTCTTAAATAGTTTCATGATTAAAAATTTAGACATGGCAATTAACTTTTATCAATCGAAGTTTAGGTTACGGGCTGCCTTAGACCTGTGTTTTTGCAGGTCAATTATTCTAGGGGATTTTGCACAGAGGTCACAAAATTTGAAGGTGCATCAAAATTTGTCACTTTTTCAAATGGTGCTAAAAAATGATACTTTTTGAATGTAAAATGTTCAAAGGACTCTTGGAGATACCTCTTTAAGTGCATTTATCGCTCATTAATGCATGTATTTAATGCTAATTAACGTCATGATTTGATCATTTGACTTGTGTAAGGAAAATCATTGAATAGATCTAATATACAATGGGTCGTAGAATTCTTAACACAAAAATAAAATAAATCATAACTTACATTGCTAGGTAACGACATTTTCTCTCCATAAACCCCAACTTTCTTTACATCTTTTCAATTCCGATATCAAAAAGAAAATATTATTGAATTCATCTTCTATTTTGAAAGCTTAGCATTTATAAATTGTTAATACTTTTATTTTATAAATTTTTGAATTGTTAAGTACAACATGTTCATATTAACTTGCAATTTTACAAATTATTATCCATTCATTCAGTTTGGTTTTACAAATCTTTTTGAATAAAAATAGCACTATCCTCTGTAAAATGTCGTGAAAGATTCCGTATTTAATAAAGTATTGGGTAAATTATTTGTGAAAATTGTCATTTGGTAGGTGAACATTGATGAACACACACTTAATGTTACGAAGAATGTATTTTAATCACACCCATCAAATGCTACTCTATAGGTGCTAACTGTCGAACAAAACTGTTGAGACCGACCGTTCAAATGTCGAACTCAACACTTCGTAAATGTCGGGAAAGAGATTTAAAATGACGTTTTCAATGGTTTGCTATTGTTTGCTTCGTAGGTGCCAATTGCATGCTATTAAAATCCGATATATTAATTGTGTCAAATGCTAATGATTGTTATCACAAATTTTCAGGTACGAATAATAATTTGAGATTCATCGTGTCGCGCGAAGGACATTTTGTGCATGTAGATGGGTTTGATCGTATTTCAATTCTTTTTCTTCGTTCGTTGGTTTGATTTATTATTAATTATATCTACTCAAAAATTCAGTAAGACGCACCAACCAACCAAACAAAAGTAAAATAATCGAAAATAAAAAGTCCAGCTAGCATTAAAGTATTTCTGCTTTGGAGTGTACAACATTATACCAATGTCTGTCATTTGCCACCCTTCTGCATCTTCGTCGCATAGAAAGTGTCAAAGAAATTTCGCAAAGAATAGGTAAAAGCCAAAGATGATAGATTCCAACTAAAAAGTCAATACGGCAATCGTGATAATCATGGCCTCGATCTATTGGAGTTGTGATGCATTCTAAATCATTAACAAATGAATCAAGGAGCGATGATCACTACTAATAATGAATAACCTTATTGAATAAAAAAATAAAAAATACGGATAAATTGTGCAATTGAAAATTCCTCGAAAAACCCCCGAAATAACTTCCAAACCTAATGTCATTATCACATTCAATGCCCGTTACGTGCCTCAATGTCTTCGTCTACACCCAAAACTAGGCCACCCTTGATATTTATCCAAATTCTATTGGATAACAAAATTGCTTGTCCGTTTTTATTCAATCTTGAAAATGACTTAGTCTATTGACTTTATTATATATTCTCTCATCATTGAATATTAATCCTGATAACGGTTGGGTAACGTACATAGCCTCATAAATAAAATTTAATCATCATCATCATCATCATTTTACAAATGGAAAATGCAACAAGTTATTCTGCTTCCCTATATAAATGATTCAAATTCTCGACTCAAACATCTCTCTCTCTCTCTCTCTCTCTCTCTCTATTTTCCTTCGTTGACCAACTGTAAGTCCCTCCCTCCCTCTCTAAATTCTTGAATGTGTATATTATTTGTCTGTTACTTTGGATTCAACTTTAATTGGATTGTGGGTTTTGCTCAAGATTATGTCCTGACTCCATTAAAATTGAATTATGGGGTTGAAAGTCACATTAATAGGACATACACCTTCTTTAATCATCGATGTACTTTCTCTTATGTTAGCCATTGTGTTACTTTTTTACCCTGTTTTATTAAAATTAGATATTCTTCTTGAAAGGAAAATCTTATTAAAACTAGTACAAATCCAAACACTCGTTTGAGTTTTTTAAGGGATCGAACAGCTCGTTTGAGCTTATTGACTAAAGACTTTGGGGTTAGGTCAAAACTATTGAGATGAGTAATAAGCTCTTATATATTGGTTAGTGTTCTTATCCTTTATCGATATGATATTTTTATTGTTAATTTGATATATGTCATCTCTTGCCAAATAAATTCATGTGCTAAATGGGTTAGGAATCACTAACTTTAAGGTATGACTATAGAATTGAAAATATGCATATGGGTGCGATAGTCTTGTTAGAACCATAGAGACTGATTTTAAGTTTATACATTAAACAACTAAGTACTCTTTCAAGCCTGAGCTTTACCCTTTTCATTTGTTTGATATTTATCTGTAACATTACAATATAACCATTTGAATTTTCATTGAAAACATATCATCGACAAATTATTTTATGACGTAGTTGAGATATAGAAGAAATATTCGTCACCCCGTAATATCTTAGATCAATTTTGCTGCAATTTGAGCAGGAAATGGGAAATCTATTGTGCTGTGTACAAGTAGACCAATCTAAAGTTGCTATCAAGGAGCGGTTTGGCAAATTTGATAAAGTCCTCGAGCCAGGTTGCCATTGCATGCCTTGGGTTCTTGGAAGCAAAGTAGCCGGTCATCTCTCCCTCCGTCTACAGCAGTTGGATGTGCGCTGTGAAACTAAGACAAAAGTTACATTTCTTCTGCAAAATGATATCCTTAATACTAAACTATATGGTATCTTAAGCTTTTAGCTGAGATGATTTAACAATAATGCAAATAAATTAACTGAGTCTCCCAATTATTGGCTATCAGGATAATGTATTCGTCAATGTAGTGGCATCAATACAGTACCGTGCCCTTGCAGATAAGGCAAGCGAAGCTTTCTACAAACTGAGCAACACAAGAAGTCAAATTCAGGCCTATGTATTCGATGGTACAGTCCCAAACTTACACCTGATAGTATGATACAGTGTGAATATCTATGTCAATAAGATATATTACAGTTTGACCTGGAATGTGTTCTTGTTTCCATTTTTCCAGTAATTAGAGCAAGTGTTCCAAAACTCAACCTTGATGATGCTTTTGAGCAGAAAAATGAAATAGCAAAGGCAGTTGAAGATGAACTAGAGAAGGTGAAGTTATTTATTTCAAGATACCAATTTACATATTCGAACCTAAATTCTTTGATATTGTTTTGATGATGTTAATTCATGTTTGACTGCAGGCAATGTCTGCTTATGGGTATGAAATTGTTCAGACACTGATTGTTGACATAGAACCAGACGAGCATGTTAAGAGAGCAATGAATGAAATAAACGCCGCTGCAAGGCTAAGAGTGGCTGCTAATGAGAAGGCAGAGGCTGAAAAGATCTTGCAAATTAAGAGAGCCGAAGGTGAAGCAGAGGCTAAATATCTCTCTGGATTGGGTATTGCTCGCCAGCGTCAAGCAATTGTGGATGGTTTAAGAGATAGTGTACTAGGTTTCTCAGTTAATGTTCCTGGAACCACTGCAAAGGATGTTATGGATATGGTCCTTGTCACTCAGTACTTTGACACGATGAAAGAAATTGGAGCTACCTCCAAATCATCTGCTGTGTTCATCCCTCATGGACCAGGTGCAGTTCGTGATGTGGCAACACAAATTCGTGATGGACTTCTTCAGGCTTCTCAACCATGACCTCCCTTAATTTCTACAGCTGTTTTCTAAAAAATTATCATATATTTCCTGCTGCCTGTGTGATTTTGATTTTTTTTTCGATAATGAATTTCCAAGTAATATTGTTTTTATTCCGTTCAATTGGAAATAAGTTACTAAAGAAGTCTTGGATAGTAAGATCTGTATGTTCTACACTTTATCCAAAGCCACTACAATTCTCGAGCAAGATTTTTTAGAGTAATGTTATTTATTATCATGATGATGGAACATCGGTAATACGACAATCTATTATCCCTTACATTTCCCCCTCTCTCTCCCCTCCCCCCTCTCACATGAAAATTGAAGTGTCCAATCCCATTATTTCACATTGACGAGCACATCACCGATGTTCCATCATTACAATGATAAATAACATTATTCAATTTTTTAAGATTGGCTTTGCTAAGTCTGCCAGGACCCAAAACCTTTGTCGTTTCTTTAGTAAGTTGGATGTACAAATACTGGATGGTACTAAGAAAATTACACTTTTGTCTACTTTGTTGTTCATTCTGCGCTTCTAGGAATCAAACATATACCCAACAACCATTCTTAGATGTTTGATATATAGAGAAGTCCGCCTCCTTTCTGTCATCAGCTCAGCCATTGTCTTGTTTATTGATAACCCACCCTCTCTATGGATACGTCCGTGGTTAGAAGACACGACATAAGGTCCTTGCATTCTTCATCTATATTCTTTTCCTCTTGAACTTGTTTACTCTTGTAGTAGTTCGAAATATGCATTGGGTTGGCTTGAGATAAGCACCTTTTGTGTGAAATTGGCATTTGTTGTATATGCCTCATGGTTTACTCTTGTATAATAACTTTGTTGGTTTATGTGTTATGAGTGTTGGTTGAAAGATGATTTTTATGGATGTCGAATTGTAACACGACTTTGTTATATATTGGTTTTTCTCCCCGTTAATCAGGCCTCGGAAAGCATATAAAACTAGCAAAAACCTATTCTTAGCTCTGTTGATAAAAACCGACAGCTTTACTATTTTCCAATCGGGATGTTTACATCTAGACCGAACCTATGTTTGGCTCATGTTTATAAACACTCAAGTCACTTTTATCCACACATTTTGAGGGACCTATAAGTTGTACCCATTTATCCACCACTAATTTCTACATGTTTGTAACTTAAACCGTTTATAAACACTTCCCAAACATGCTCTCCAAGTGGTTGCCATGACAGCCATAAAAACGCTCAATGATTTTTTAATGAAGAACATACTAAAATTTAGCATAAAAAGAAAAAGGATAAGAAATTACACTTTTAGCTTCATCATACATCAAAATCCTTTAGTGAGGGCAAAAACTCGTCCTGCCAAAGGTGGAGCCAATGCAGAAACAGCATCTTCGATGACCTGACGATAAAATACAAGGATTAGCTATGTCCTTAATGACTAACTACAGCGAACCATCTGGTTCCTCAGTGCAATATAATGACATTAAATCATGGGACACAAGGATGCCACAGAAGCCTTAAAGTTGTCTTTCAAATACATCATGCTAACTTAAGGCACCCTTTCCAAAGAAATGACAATGATAACACCCACTATAATATTTCAGAAAAATGAAGAACAAGGACAAGAAATATTGGTCTGTTAATAACACCATGCGCGGCTTAGTTTTCACACCAATATCAAATTTATACCTATAAAATGAAAGACAATATTAAACTCACTATACATTACTCAGCTCCAAAAAGGAAAAGATGGCAATGAAATAAACTCACTTATGCGTGGTTTATGTATCTCCCCTATTTTAAAGATTAGTTAATGAAAGTCCTTCAGTTTACATGCAAATAAATTAAATATGTAGGCTTTGATATGGACGAAACAACTTACATCTAACTGATAACGAGCAGAAAAGTGGATTAGAAGAATTGCTTTATTCTCAAACATGTCTGCAGAACTGATAATCTGGTGGCATATTAGTACACGTATAATATAAAACTGTAATCAGTAATCTGCAAAAGTAGATAACAGAGTAGCTAGGAATGGGGAAAAAAAAGGAAAGGCAGTAGAACATCAACCTCTGACAAATGAGTGTGTCCATATTCTCTTGCATCCACCTCCGTCGTTAAATTCTCAACATAGGTGCTCTAAATTAGAAAATCAGAAACGAAGATTAAATATATCAGAAATTCATATTGGTGGCTAAATAATAGCATGCATACATACTTTAAGCTCTAGTATCTGTAGCTGCATCTCCACTTTATGATGGCTATCTTGGATCAACTTACAAGTTGTTAAAAATGCAAGTCACTTCATTCCTGAATTTAAAAGACGTTTGTATTCTTTTCTAAAAAATCTGTGACATCTAGTGCATGTGTTTTTATGTCCAGAACATATGACTGAACATAATCATACATAACAGCTCACACTGAAAGGATACTCCTATTCCTAATAATCACATTTCAACACTTTCGATCCAACTCAATTTTACCCAGCTAGGTTCTTTCAACTGATTTCGCTCAGCTACTCCTATTTCCAGAAGATAGTTGAATCAAATTTATAGGAGTTCAGAGAAAATAAGTACATGTAATGCAGAAGATAAATGATATATCTAGTCATTTTTCCAACACCATCACTTAGTCATCACTTTCACTCGTATCCCAATTGTGATATACAATCAATAGGTAACTTCACAAAAAGGTCATATACACTTTCTGACATTAATATGTCTCTCATACGTTTAGCAAATCTTTTTCCCATTTCTACCAGTTGCAGGACTGACAAATATGTGCTTCAGTTGATTTCACGCTTTCACTTGGTAATTATCATAGCAAACAGAAGTGACACATTTAGTAGAAGGTAGACAACGTCGTAGAGGCAGTTAATACACTAGAGTAATGAGTACCGTGAAGCAATAGATTTGCTTCTAATTAGAGTCCTTGGAGTGGAACCTTCCCATGTATCATATATAAGGGATAGTAACGGTATTTACCTCCATAATGAGGATCTTTGACCTTAAGACATCAACGTTGTCAGGATCAGTAATGAAGTCGGACATAGTGTCTCCAGTGAAAGCAATTTCAGGTGATGTAGATGTATTGGTGATCTGATAAAGGAGAAAAGTTAACCATGTCAAATATAAGTCACTCAAAATTTCATCACAAAGATTCTAACAACTTAGAGAATGGAAAATGTAGTAACCACAAGCATTTTCTTGACATAATCCAGAAGAAGAGATATAAGAAATATATATTAAATAATCAGTTATTCTTCTTGCTTTCTAACTGATGCTGAAGAATGCACCAGTTTCCATTTTTGGTATCTTGGAAATAGAGGAGAGCAAAAATGGCATAAAGCAGATTAAACATTTGATTGGAGGTAATATATAGAATGGAAAATGTGCTAACCACATGAATTTTCAGTATATTCCAGAGGAAGAGAGCAAGAAATATAAATTAAATACTTGTTTCTGCTTCTCATTTTGTAACTGCTGGAGAAATATACCAGTTTCAGTTCCTGATATCTTAAAGAGAGGGATGAGAATGGATATAAAGCGCATTAATCATTTGATGGTAGATGGTAGAGATTATTTCAATAGTGGTGAAAAGGAACTCATGAAGCCAACAACAAATTTATTGGGAATCAGGCTTGTCAATGTTGAGGCAGTGAGAGTTTAGGAAGGCGACGTTACATATCTCACAGATAATAAGAAAAATCTATCCACAATAGATTGAATAATAATAATAATAATAATAATAATAATAATTCAATAAAAAAATGGTCTATAAACCAAAAATGGGTACCATCAAGTAAACGTCATCTTCCGAACCAAATTGGTCTCTAGAGAAAATTCCTTGCACGCATTCAAATTATACAATCAAGATATAAGCCTTTATACTTGTGTTAATACATGAATATTGTGTATTAAGGATTCCCAAGCTCTGTATACTTGAATATTGTGAAGTAAAAATTTCTAAGACAATTTTTTCAAGCAAAAATTAAAATCAAAGCAACAATTAGATATGTGGAATCACTCTACTAAAATACAAGGCAAGATATTTCTATATCCAGCACTTGGATATCTTATATCTAAATCACAAATTGCTTTCCTCATTTTGGATTGAAATAAAAACATACAATCAGAATATTAAATTTTACCATATGCTGCACATGCTTTTATATCAATTTTTCAGTACAACTTTATAAGATTCCGCTATAAGCAATTATCAAGATGTACCTCCACGCCTGATAGCTTCAATTTTTTAATTTCCTCTCCTGGTAGTCCAATATATTCCTGCTTAAGTTTCTGTTTCACAGAATAAACTATATAACCCTGTCACCAATCAAAGCCAATCCTCAATTACCTCTTCATTTAATTTAATTAATAATAAAATGGAAAAACTGAAAAAGGAACAGGTAGGGAGCCCAACAATAACCTGGCTAGGAATGGAATGGTAAGTCCTAAAAGCTCTCACTTTAAGGTCTGTTCTTAACTTATATTCTTCACCTACAAATTAAGCGAGTTTTATGGAGGTATTTTGGGAAGTTCACAAAATACAAGATAAGGAGTTCGGCATTACCCACATCCAAACCAATAAGAGTGTGCTTAAGCTCAGAGTGGTCCATTGCCCTGTGAGCTTCAAATATCTTTTCCACACTTTCTTTTATGACTTTTGGCACAATAATTGTTGGGGGTGCCATTCGGTATAAGCCACGGGTCGCAACATACATGGGCAGTCCTCCCTATGAAACAATAGCAAATGTCATAGCAGCACCCTCTCGTAAATAAGGAGAAGTTAGTAAATATCTCATATAGGAGAAATGAAGACCAGATGTTCGCAAGAAACACAAACACACTACCTACAGATACTCAAAACTAGACAACATTGTAAAGTTGTATCAGTCTTTACACCTTGCAACTGCATGGGGAACCATGGGATGAGAGCAATGGTTATTTTTTATATTTCGTACCCTGCTCTAAGTCTAACACACAGGCTTAGTGCCCGTTTGGCATGGCTTTTGAAAACCAAAAGGAGCTTTTGAACCTGTTTGACAAGTTTTATGAAAGTCCTTCCACTTAGAAGAGCTTTTAAAGGAAGCTGGTCCAATGTGGTTTCCTTTAAAAGAACTTCCAAAATAGAAAGTTCTTTTAAAATTAGTTTCCAAATAAAAATTAAGTCCCTGTTTGACAACTATTAAAACAAAATCATTTTTTTCTCAAACTCATTTTCAACCACACATTCTTAGAATAAAATATTTTGCAAGTAAACTTACAACTTTTTTTACTTTTTAACCACACATTATCCAAAAATTCACTATTTCAAAACTCATTTAAAAAAAAAAATCATTTTAATGGTTGTCAACAGGGGCTAAGATACCTTCATCCAAAAGCTTTTCTATAGGAAACAAAAGCAAAAACCATGACAAACGGGCCCTTAGTCTGTACCTAGGCAACTATTGTCTAGGCATATAACTTCCCTATGTTCTGTCTAGATGTTCAAGCCAAATTTTTTGCATCGGGAGATACTCTCCAAAAATGAAATAGATAAACCGGAAACTATACGTTAGATACCATACACGAAGCAAAAATTCGAAAAGATGTGGAACATAAAGCAGCGAAGAGAAAAATATAGTTGTTCAAATATAGTGATGTTCATATTTGTAATACTCATTTTTTTTATTCTTGATTCAAACTCAGTAATTTTTTTTATGTACATTCAATTGAACATCTATTTAAAAATTTTACGCCTCATCCAACAAGGCAAGAGTCAATGGCCATGTGACAGCCAACTAACGAACCAACAAAGGTCCACACTCTACATTACTATCCTACCGATCTAATCAAGGCCATGAAATACAGGTACTCAAAGTGATGCATCACACTTGTAGAGGCGCCATATAGAGGCCGATCCTCCATGACGGAGGCAAGGTGCCGGTCTGTTGCAAAGTAATTTTGAAATGACTAGACTCTCGACGTGAGAAGGCATCTTCTTGTTTCGCCTATTTCAAGAGATATTCCATACAAGATCTTCTAAGTGATTATTGATGTGGCATCTCTAAAGCAGACACCTCTCAATCAACTTATTAGTCTACTTTTCAAATATCAACATAGAAGGTGACTATTTTTCAAAATCATTTAATGTCCCTGAATCTAGTTCTGCAGAAGTAACACCTAGAGGAGTGGCCTCGATCAATAAGATGAAGCCACGTGTCCTTTCATCCAATGATAACCATTTCATCTCTTCTAATATAAAAGCTCGCACTTAGTATTAGTTAAAGATAATATAATTTTACAATGTCAATATTATTATTGCTCACTCTTATTTGTCTCTACAACCCGGTGCATGAACATATACTTGTGGCTCACATCTCCCCATCCCATACCTAAATATATGTAAGTTGACTAATTTGACCATCGGAGTGCACTCCTCCACAGTCGAAGAAGGCCACCTGTGTGCAGAGCCTTACGCCCGATCAGTTGAACAAATAATATCTAAATATGGTTGCACTGAACTGTGTCATCAAAAGATTTGAAATTCTGAAAGAAATGCTTACTAATTCAAATCACATGCCTCAAACACATAATTAGCAAATTTGGGTACTGCACCGAATCGACTAATTTACATAAATATGGAAACGGAATTCCAAACAAAAAAATCAGATTCAAAGTTTGCGATGGTTTATAAAATATGGAGGAGGGAATGCAATTACTATATGGTCCATGTGGCCATGGGAGATGAAGAGGAACTGCTGGGAGATAGCGCGTTGAGGGCACTTGCCGATGTCAAATGCTAAGTTGAGCGTGGGGAGTATTATGCACGTCTCATGACCTGCTATTGATATCCCATCTATTGGGTATCCCAATAAATTCAAATCTCCTTCCTTGATCTTCTTCTTCTTTTTCGAATTCTGGTTTTTCTGCTCAGCTTTATTTTGGGAATTGGGAGTTTCATTCGTGTTAATCGACTCCATTTTCAATTGGCGATTCTGAAAGCATACGGCGAAACTTCTTTCCGATTCAAAGGCGTATGCTTTCTTCGTATTCGTTAAATGGCGGCAGCGAGGGTGGGTCGGGGCAATTCGTAGCTTGTGGTTAAATTAAAAATTAGGGTAATTGACATGATACCCTTCCAATATTTGCATGTTTTGTAGAATACCCTCTTTAACATTTCATTTTCAACGTTACCAACTGCCGTCTATAACAGTTAGGTCTTGTCTGGCACAATTAAAATCGAAATTTGTACCGTTGCTACAGTACCCGCCACCCTTTTTGACTTTAGCCCTGTTTGGGAGAAATTTTAATCAAGATTTTAATCAAAATTTTAGCCGTTAACTATCANTCAGCCACCATTTTTTACTTTCCCTCTCACAGGTGGAGCCCACAAGTTGACTATAACGGCTATAATTTTGATTAAAATCCCACAAAAATTGCTCCCAAACACGCTCTTTTTTTAGTCACACATTCAGCCACATTTCTGTGATTTTTTGACCGTTGCTTCCTTCAACGGAATAAAAATCGATTTTATTGCAGATTAAAATCGCGCACAGACAGGAGGTTAGTTTAAGCATTAAAAAGAAAAAAGTAAAAAGGGGCCAAAATCAATAAAACCTCAAAAGGATATTTTACTCTTTTCAAATCCAAACTCACTCGAGGCCTTATTTGTTTGTGAAACCAATTGAGGGGCGATTGTAGCATAGAAATCCCAAGAATAGCCAAAAAAAAAAAAAAAAATTCAAAATCTACCATCATTTTTCACAATTCAGAATTAATTTTCTTCTTTGTTGGATTGGATGGTGTTTGCTATTGGATTAATGTTTGCAGTCAGTGTAAGGTCTATTTTATTATTATTTTATGTGATTATTGCTGGTTTATTTTATTTTTATTTTTTTTAAGGGTCAAATCCTTAAAGTTATGTTTCAAGATAATTTTTAAATTGACATTAGAGTAAATTTGATTCTCCAAATTTAGATTGTCAAATCCAATCTTTATAATTAAATACATTCAAAATATTTTAATTTTCAATTATACAGAGTCCGTTACAGCACTAAAAATATACAATTTAAAAATATAAACTCTCTTGTAGATGCTTTTATACAGCACGACATAGAAAACCGAATACATAGAAGCAATACGATCATAGAAACCAACAACATTCAGTAACATCCAATACCAAATAACAACAAAATTGAAAGCCTAATTTTCACCATTCACTGTCCACATTACAACAAAATTATACAATAATTTCCATCATTCACTACCCACGTCGCAGTAAAACCACAAAATAAAATTCACCTTTCATTACCGACTTCTGTACAGTATCAATTTCTTTATTTTGGTTGAATCACAGTGTTTGGACAGTCGGTTTCTCTCTCAATTTGTTTCTCAAACAAATGGAGCCTTAAAAGAGAATTTAAAATATTTACCGAATAGTCGAAAAATTACATTAGAAACCATATTGAGTCATGGCTTTAATGATTCAAGCAATACTTTTAGACCATGATATAAAGGGACATTGAATTTGAGCATATGAAAGGAAGAAATTTTGACAACTTTAGTTCCAAAATAGCTGAAGGACCGAATATTGTTGCCAAAAAAAAAGCAGAAAAAACAGTAACTAAGAAAGATACGTATGGCGTAGCAATCTTGAGAAACTTCCAAAAAACTTATCGTTACAAACATTCTCACAATCTTGACGTTCATCCACTGATTCAAGCACCCCAATCTCCAGCTAAACGTTGATATATTCCCTGATGACTTCTATGGATCATTGGTTTGGCACACTACAACAGCCCGTGCAGATATATGAAAGGATCATC